ACCTGAAGCAACATACATCAAAATATTAAGGAGGCTGCCTCTGAGAGATCAGTTTAATCGTGATTTCTGTATTGTCTTTCTTGCTTTGCAGTGTTTGTGTGCAATATTCACATAAACCAATGTATATATTATAAGAAGATAGATATAGATTTTAATAGTGACATGATTATCTATAAAAGTTATCAAAATGAGAATGTCCTGAAGCCGTATAGTAACTGGCTCCAGATAAATCCTACTGCCATAAACAACTATGAAATGGGTAAAATAGATAAAGTAATGGTTTTCAGAAAATGAAAGAGGCAAGGCAAGACTGAGATCTGTGTGGAGAAAAAAGGATACTAATGAGGTAATCTCTACAGGAGTCATTCTCTGCCTGAGAACAATTTCCTGGCCCTAACATAGAGCTCTGGAATTCAAGCAGAACATGGAGGTGCCACTGAGTTCAGGAGGCAGAGAGAAGAGTACTGGGCAGCTGAACTAGTTAGAATCTGTGAATCGGGGTAAAAGAAAGGAGGTGTGCAGAGTTGGCTTTAGAAGTTTCTATGGGGTTCCACATGAGTCTTTGCCTGAAGACTAGGCTGTCTCATAAGATTCAAAAAACCCAAGGTTTACAATATGGCAACATAGCAGCTTTTTTGGACTTGACAACAGAACAGAGATGGGAAGGTCAAAGAGTCCTGGGAGAAGAGCCGTAGGGAATATTGAAGTTTAAGCCATTTTTTAACGAAGAGATACCCTAACAGCCTCTGACAACATGAAAAAAAAATAGCCAGGCTCTCCCTTAGTAGTTAGGATGATGCCCTGAAGAACTGACCTCTCTAGACCTTTCCTTTAAAAGCCTAAATCTAAGCCCCACTAAGATCCATGGTGGAGACAGATTTGGAGGTTGATTCCCCCAAAGTTAAGGAGTTTAGGATGACAGTTTGGGCTTTTCACAGATCTGCACTGCCACCATAAAACCAAGCCTATCTGTACAAGTTTAACATGACGAGTCAGCAATTGAATAGTCTGCTGAAACGAAACTACTTTCTGAGAATGATTATAAATCTAAGTCTCCATAGTGTAATGTCCACAGTGCCCATTATTCAATGAAAATCACTAGAAATACAAAGAAACAGAAAATGTGATCCACAGTCAATGAAAAAATAAAAATCAACCCATAGAAATAAACTGAAGAGGACCAAACATTAGACTTAGCAGATAAAAACTTTTATTTTTTTTTAATTTATTTATTTGAGAGAGAGAGAGAGAGCACACGCACAAGTGTGGGGGAGGAGGGGCAGAAAGAGAATACAAGAGAGTCTCAAGCAGACTCTGTGCTGAGGGCAGAGCCCCATATGGGGCTTGATCTCACAACCCTGAGATCATGACCTGAGCCCAAACCAAGAGATGGATGGTCAACCCACTGTGCTACCCAGGCAGCCCAGATAAAAACGTTTAAAAAGGCATTATAAATATGTTCAATGACATCAGAGTAAATATATTAAAAGAATCATAGGACATAAAGTCTTAATGATTGGAGAAGTCTAGCAGAGAAAGAGAAATTATACAAGAGCCAAATAAGAATTGTACCAGAAAGTAGTAGACAAGACATGAAGAATTCACTGCAGGAGCTTAAAAAACATACTGCAGAAGGCAAAAAAAAAAAAAAAAAAGTTTATTAGCTGTTATATATATTAGTTATATAGCTGAAAACAGACAAAATTTTCCAACCTGAGAAAAGAAGGAGAAAGATTGAGGAAAATGAACACAGCTTCAGTGACTGGTAGAATTTCAAATTGCATAACATATATATAATTGGAGTCTGAAAAGTAGAGGAAAGAGATGAGGCAGAAATAAAGGGAAAGCTAAAAGAAGTTCAGCAAACTCCATACAGTTTTCCAGAGTGGCTGCACCAGCTTGCATCCCTGATGTTTATAGCAGCAATGTCCACAATAGCCAAACTGTGGAAAGAGCCAAGATGTCCATCGACAGATGAATGGATAAAGAAGAGGTGGTATATATATATATATACAATGGAATATTATGCAGCCATCAAAAGGAATGAGATCTTGCCATTTGCAATGACGTGGATGGAACTGGAGGGTATTATGTTGAGTGAAATAAGTCAAACAGAGAAAGACATGTATCATATGATCTCACTGATATGAGGAATTCTTAATTGCAGGAAACAAACTGAGGGTTGCTGGAGTGGGGGGTGGGGTGGGAGGGATGGGGTGACTGGGTGATAGACACTGGGGAGGGTATGTGCTCTGGTAAGCGCTGTGAATTGTGCAAGACTGTTGAATCTCAGATCTGTACCTCTGAAACAAATAATGCAATATATGTTAAGAAAAAAAAAAGAAGAAGAAGAAGGTAGCAGGAGGGGAAGAATGAAGTGGGGGAAATCGGAGGGGTAGACGAACCATGAGAGACGATGGACTCTGAAAAACAAACAGGGTTCTAGAGGGGAGGGGGGTGGGAGGATGGGTTAGCCTGGTGGTGGGTATTGAGGAGGGCACATTCTGCATGGAGCGCTGGGTGTTATGCACAAACAATGAATCCTGGAACACTTCATCTAAAACTAATGATGTAATGTATGGGGATTAACATAAGAATAATAAAAAAAAATTTTTTTTAAAAAAGAAGAAGTTCAGCAAACTCTACATCAAGATTATTTAGGCACATTATAATCAAACTACTGCAAACCAAAGATAAGGGAAAATTCTCAAAAGCAGCCTGAGGGAGAAAGAAAAACATATACAAGGGAATAAAGATAAAATGATGGCTGACTTCACATTAGAAACCATGCTATAGAGAAGAAAATAGAACAACTTTAAAGTGCTTGGGGGAAAAACTGGCAGAGTTTTAGATCTCACAAAAACATGAGAGTGAAATGAAATTTTTATATAAACAAATCTGAGAAACTTTGTCTCCAGCAGATAACCACTACAAAAAGTACTAAAGGATGTGCTTAAGGCCAAAGGGAAATGGTGCTAGATTATAACTCAGACCAACAAGTAGAAATGAAGACCATCAGAAATGGTACATAAGTGGAAAACTTAAAAACTGTATGTTCTTCTTATAATTTGTATAAAATACATCTGACTATTCACTGTAAGGTGAGGTTTACATTTTAGGCAAAGGTAAAAAGATACAATTACTATTAAAAATAGATAGAGGACAGGTAAATTAATTATACTGTTGTAAGATTATTACATGTGTGAAGTAAGATATAGAATGTAAAGTATCAGCTTTGAAATGAAAAGAGGGAGGTCATCCTAAAACCTGTATGCTGTATGAATTGTGAGCATGAAGAATAAAATATTGACTATAATTAGACTGTGAAAAGTTATGAGTGCCTCTTGTTAGCCCTGGAACAACCACTAAAACACAATTAAAAAGGGAGATTTAAAAATCAGTACAAGAAATAAATTGAAACCTAAAAAAAAAAAATCAAATGAAAAGAAAGAGGGGAAGGAACCACAAAGGAATGAAAAACAGAGGGATAAGTAGAGAACAAATAGGATGGTAGACTTAATTCCAAACATATCAAAAACTACAGTAACTATAAATGAACTAAATACTAAAATTAAAAAGATGAACACAGTAACATTGATGAATATAACAGAAATTATGCTGCGGAAAAGTAGCTGGACACACAAAAAATATTTACTGCATAATTTCATTAATAAGAAATTCTAGAAAAGGCAAAAATCATCAGTTAGTCAAGAAAGTCTTATCAGTAGTTGCTTGGCACAGGAACAAGGGCTCAAGTGCTCTGAAGATTAACTGCAAAGGAAAGTGAGGGAGCTTTCTGGGAAGATGGAAATGTTCTGTATCTTGATTGCATAGTGCTTACACTGCAGTATATATCAATTAAAAGTTTATTGACCTGCATATTTAAAATGAATTTTATTGCATGTAAGTTATACCTCAATAAAATTGTTTTTTTAAGTGAATCAAAATACTGATTGCTTAGCGATCAATATAGCCGACTTTGAAACTCTGTGCGTTCAAATTTTGCCTCTGATATTTACTTACTGTATGAACTGGGCAAATTACTTAACCACTCGAAGTTTTCTCTATAATAGTACTTCATAGGATTGCTGAGAAGATTAATTCCTTATCTGGAGTACGTGTTCAACATATATTAGTTGTATTAATATCATCAGCATCACTACTATTTTTTTACTATGTTCAGAACATGAAACTTTTGAGATATATCAAATCATGAGACAAACTTATTCTCATTTTATCTTCAAATAGTTCTTTTAGAAGAGAAATGAGACTTGGATAAAAAGTAAATTGAAAAAGAGATGCTAATTGGTAATATAAGATAAGACAAGGCATTTAAAGTCAGACTTTGCACAAGCCACTCAATACACATGCAGGCTATATTAGTTTCCTGTCAGTGTTGTAACAAGTTACCACAAGCTGTGTGGCTTAAAGCAACACAAATGCATTATCTTACAGTTCTAGAAGACAAATCCAAAATGAGTATCATGGGGCTAAAAATCAAGATGTCAGCAGAGCTAGTTCCTTCTGAAGGCTCTAGGGGAGAACACATTCCTAGCTTCTAGAGGCTGCCTATATTTGGCTTCTTTCTCCATCTTCAAAACCAGCCACATAGTATCTTCTTTTTCTTTCACATGACCTTCTTCTCTCCTGTATCAAATCTCCTGCCTCCATTTATAAAGATACATGAGGTTACGTTTAAGGCCCACCAAAATAATCTAGAATAATCTGCCCCCATCTCAAGATCCTTAATTTGGTCACATCTGCAAAGCCGCTTTTATCATGTGAAATTACACTCACAGATTCTAGGGATTAGGACACAATCGTCTTTGGAGGCCTGCCAAATGTCATAAAAGCAAGATTAGAAATGAGAGGGGAAGAAAGGAGGAGACACTAGTGTCCTGAGAAATTTTATTTTTAACAGTTTACAAGTGTTAGGTGAAGGAGAAACAAATGTGAAACAAAAACAAATATACAAAATAAAATGTCATTGTTATTTTTAGGTGTTCTAAATGTTTATCTGCGTTTGAAAGGGCAGACAACGATAGAGAATCCACTGTGGTCTTCAAGTGGGAATAAAGGACAGCGGTGGAATGAGGCTCATGTTAATATATACCCAATCACTTCATTCCAGGTAAGAAAAGAACAATCATTTCTGTGAAGAGACTGCAGCACATGAGCATAAAGTTAAAGGCAGACCTTGAGCAAACATAGGAATATGAAGGTTCAGAAATTCTGTGATATATATGAGCATCACAAAAACGACAGTATTAAGTTTTTCTTTAGTTCCAAAGCTGTTTTATAAAGAGAAAATGTCCCTTTTCTTTATTAGTTCTTATCAAATAATATGTTTGAATAATAGTCTTTCAAAATCCAAATGATTTGCTAGGATAAAATATAATCTATTTCTATAAAATCACAGGTGTATATTTTGTTTCCTGAAGATAAATAACATAGGTTCTTATAATAATGGAAACTGGATAGTCGATTCTCAATTAATCTGTTCAAATTTTACTTGATGGAATTTTACATGCTTTAGCAAAATATGTCTCTTTGAGGTAATGTCATTTTAATAACTTATCACTTTGATGAGCAAAGAGAATTTTGAAGAAGCCATTTTTCTTTGTTTTGATATAGAAGAGTAAGGCTAAATTGAATTAAGAAAGCTGCAAATATATAACAGAAATTTTAATGACTATAAAAACGGCCACTATGGCTTGAGACAATATTTCATGAAACTATTTCAGTGGAGAAAATAATGTAGTTTTAGTGAAGTATGTGTATTTTATGTACTCAGGTTAGGTATTCTTTTTTCTACCAGTGATTTCTTCAATGTACTTCAAGATATATTTTTGTTTCCTATGTGACTGCCTCACTGACACAAAATTATTAAGTCAAATATATATACACTAGGTACTTAAAAAATAGTTATATTACTGTTTTCTTTAGGATACTCCTTTATTGCCATAGACATCAATTTAATAATTGAGCACTTTCAAGACAATCACTTATTATCATAGTAACAGTTCAATAAATATTTTTGAGCTACTCTTGTGTGCCAGAAACATTGTTAGGTTGAAGATCTAAAAATGATTGTCTACCTCATCTTGGTAGAAATATACATGTAAACACTTACATCGCATACTGTAAAAATTGCAGTAATAGAGGTATGCACAAGGTTCTGTGATAACGCCCAACCAACTAGAAGAGTATGGAACAAAGTCAAGAAAAACTTATTGTATGAGGTGAAATCTGAACCAAGGAGAGAGATTGCAAAGTAGAGAAAGAGCTAACATTAATATTGAAACAGAGTTTAGAGTGAACAAAGACATCGACATCATATGCCATAGGATTTGCCTGAGAAACAGAAAAACTTTTATCTACAATTTGGTACATAAAGAGAAATCAGACTGGTGTGAACTAAGGTTAAGGAACATATGGTGCTTGGGTAACAGGGGGGTCACTGGAAGATTTTGCTCTGGGGATGATGCGGTACAGCGGTCATGTTGCTGGCTCAAAGAGATAAACCTGGATTGGCAAACCAGTTAGGGCTCGTAAAGTTCACATAAAAGATGTTGAAGGGACAAACTAGGGAAGTGGTATAAGGAAAAAAGGATGATTTCAAGATATACTTAGGTGCGAAAGCTAGCAGAACATTTTTTTTTTTTTTATGTTGGGAATTTGGGAAGCGTCCATAAATGACTAACAAGTTTCTAACTAGGGAGTCTTGGGTAATGCTTGTGCTACACATTACCTTAAATAACAAAAAGAGGAAAAGAGACAAGTTTCAGGGATGAATATGGTTACTTCTATTTTGGACATGTTAATAAAATGCCTATGGAGTACCTTTTTAAAACGTGCAGGTTGTTGTATATGTTGATCTGAAACTTTGGGGACATGCACATTCATGAGTCATCAGATTGTATGTCCTACCTAGAAATGTGGGAGTGGTTGATATTTCCAAGGGAAAGTGTACATATGTGAACAGTGATTAAATGATGGAATCATGCAGAACACTAACCAATAATATGAACTGTGGGAAAAGAGCTCAATCCTAGGTAGTACTTTTTAATATGTTTTAGAGTTAAAAGGAAGGAGATTCAGGAAAGTTTGGTGCCCACAGAATTTAAAGACAGTGATACTCAAATAGGAAAGCAAGTTGAGTCCAGTGGGCTGGTCATTACAGAGAACATCCACTCTTGAGAAATTTGCATAAGGTAGTAAGGAAATTAGGAAAATCAGCATCTGAACTAAAATTATTCACTACACCGCACCTGGGTGGCTCAGTAGGTTAAGCATCTGCCTTCAGTTCAGGTCATGATCCCAGAGTCCTGAGATCGAGCCCCAGCTCGCGCTCCCCGTTCAGCCGTGAGTCTACTTCTCCCTCTTCTCCTCTCCCACTGCTCATGCTCTTTCTCTCTCTCTCGCACTCTCTCAAATAAATAAATAAAATCTTAAAAAAATTATTCACTACTCAGAATTAATAGAATGACCTAAAAGCAGATATTAAATTGTTATATTTATGCAAATAGTTTTTATTCTATAATTTTTCACATTAGAAAATATATGAATTTTGTTTTATTTTGTTTGTTTTGTCCTTGCAAGGGAATGTTTCTTCATTCAGGATGTCACAGCAGAGAGAATCCAGAAGGGAATGTGCCCCTAGATATAAGCAATGAGGGGGTTTCATAGAGGAAAGAAATGAGATGCACAGAGGGTCAGCTCTAAGTTTGAGATTGCAATCTTACAGAAAGGAATTGCTTTTCTTTGTGATTTGGCCCATCTTACTCCATTGTGTCTTGTTACCAAAATTGTTGATTTAAAGAAGGGATTTCGGGACATGAATTAGTCTTTTACTACCAGGAAGGATGTGGTCAGTGTAAATTCAGAGTAAAACATATTTACAACTACAAATGACAACAAATTTTCTGTAGCCTCAGAGACTTACATATTAAATTCACAAAAAAAAGAGATTTATAAGAATGTTTAAAGCAGATGTTCAATGGTGTTTAAATGAATAAAGCTTTTTTCACAACAGTCCAAACCTTGGAGAACTCTCTTCACTATATCTTCCCCTCATTCCAACTGAGAAATCAGACTGGGTTTGTATAGTTGGTGCTCAAAGCAGTTATCATTTCTAGTGCTTTTTGTTCCTTTTTGTATATGCATATTTCCATCTGGTATCAATTTTATTTTGCCTGAAGGACTTCTTTTAACATTTATTGTAGTGTGGGTCTGCTAAACATGAATTCTTTTCACCTTTTGTACTTCTGAAAAAGTCTATTTCACCTTCATTTTTTGAAAGCTATTTCCTCCAGGTGTAGTATTCTAGTTTTTCCTTTAGGAACTTTAAAGATGTTTGCTGTCCTTTTGTTTGCATTGTTTCTAAGGATAAATCTGCTGAAACTCCTATTTATCCTTCTATATGTAATGTGAACTGTTGCTTTTAAGATTTTCTCTTTGTCACTGGTTTTGAGCAATTTAATTGTGACATACTTTTATGTCGTTTTCTTCATTTTTCATGTGCTTGTGGTTCATTGATCTTGGATCTGTGAGTTTATAGTTTCTATAAAATTTAAGCATTGTCTGGCTAATGTTTCTTCAAATATTTTCATTTCTCCTCCTCTCCTTTAAAGACTCCAGTCCAACACCTTATGTATGTATATAAGACTCCTTATTTATGTGCATATATATAAGGTGTTTGTGACACAGCTTTTTTAGAGTTTTTTATTTTTATTTGTGTTTCATTTTGTAATAGTTTCTATTCTGTCTTCACATTCACTAATCATTTCTTCCGCAATGTCTAATCTGCCTTCAGTCATATTCAGTGTAATTTGTATCTCAATCATTGTACTTTTCATCTCTGTAAATTCAACTTGAGTCTTTGAAAAAATATTTTCCACATCTCTAGTTAATGTTTTGAATATATGAAACCCAGTTATAATAGGTGTTTTAATGTCATTGTCTGCTAATGCTAACATCTATGTCAGTCCTTGGTTGGTTTTGACTGATTTTTTTCTCCTCATTACACGTCATTTTTCTGCTTCTCTCTATGTCTGGTAATCTGATTGGGTGTCAGACATTTGGAATTTTACTTTGATAGCTAAAATTCTTAGACAAATACAAAATTTGTTGGATATTTTTATATTTCTATAAATATTCTTGAGCTTGTTTGGGATGTAGTTCTTTGGAGAGAGTTTAACCATTTTTTGGTCTTGCTTTTAAGCTTAACGGAGAGACCAAAGCAGTGTTTCATGTAGGGATAATTATTTCTCACTTCCAAGGCAAGAGTTTTCTGAGTACTCTGTCCAATGCTCCATGAATTATGAGGTTTTCCAAGTCTTGTGTGATCTGGGTACTGTAACCTTCAGTTCATCTCTCTGGTTCTTTCCCAATTCTTGTGCAGTAACTACTGTACATTCATGTCCTGATTAGTGCATTGCTAAATACACTAGGGAGACTCTCTGCAGATCTCTGCAACTCTGTCCTCGCTTGTATTCTACACTTCACACTCTAGCTGCTTTGGAGTCCTTAAACTCTACTCCACTCCATCTCCTCAACCGAGATTTTCTACCAGGCTCTTTCTTCTGCTTGCACCATAGTCTATCAGTTCTGTATAGGGCAGTCATAGGATTCACTTTGTCTGATTCTTATCACTCATTAATCATTGTTCTTCATTACCTGATGTTTATTGTTTCATATATTTTGTCCAGTTATTTGTTGTTTCAGATGGGAGAATAGATCTGCTTCCTGTTCAATCTATCTTGGCTGGAAGCAAATCGAAGAGTAGCAGTTTTGTGTTTATTTTTTAAAGAGTAGCAGTTTTTAATGAAGCATTGCTAAGCTATTTAAATTACCAGTCAAAAATAAGATAAATAAAATCATATTTTTACTTTGGATTTCTACGTTCTTTTATTCTTTGACATATTTCTAGGTCTGTTGGCTAAAGACTCTATTATTCCGTAAGTCTTGATTTTTGAAGGAAACATGAAGCACAACTACATCAGCCTATCCCATATTTTGCTTTTATTTTGTTTTGGTTTTGAGATTTTTGTTGTTTTGAACTTTTTTCTGACAAAGCATTTTTTTACTCAAAAATCATTTGTAAACTGTCGAGTTTTTCAAAAATACTTG